AGGGCGGGCTCTACCCATGGTACTGGGCCTCTACCTGCTTGTCGTCTCGAGTGCACGTCGTTCCCCGCCCGTTCGAGGTTCCCTATCGTGATGGACCGCTGCCTGACGTCCCCATGGTCCGGAAAGTGGACTATATTTGTCTGCGCTCATGAATTAGGACTCTGTGTGCATACCCCATGGTCTCATCATCCGTGGGGTCCTGCGCCCCGTCTGTTCGGTTGGGGCCACTGCTGCGCAGGGGAACAGCATCTTCGGGAGATCTGGTGGGCATGGGCATCCTATCTGTGTCAAATCCGCTCGGGAGCTCCATGCCTATGTCGCAATAATGCGCAGCGGCGACCATGGCAACGTACTCGAGACGCGCAGCTGTCTCTCCGTCGCTGAGGGGTCGGCGGCGTCCAGCCTTTCCCTTCTTATGCTGGGGTCATGGGTGATGCTCGCAAAGCGAACGGCAAGAACCTGTATTGGGTCAGGTTGCACGCCTCCTAGACGCCCTTCGTAGTCTCCTCCAGTGAGGGACCAGACAAGCCAGGAGTGGTCCAGGATAGCGAGGATCGGGGCCGAAGTGGCTAGCTCCGAGCCGAGTCCAGGGAAGGCGGCTTCTGCTGGAGCCACCCGCATGGGGCTGTCGGCTCGTATGCCTGGGTGGCCTGGGCGGTGCCCCCTTCACGCGTGGTGCATGAGAAGCTCATGGTTGCTGGTCTCGCGCGGGCTTCTCGGCGCTCCGCGGTCGGGGGCCTCGCGCCAAGGACCATCAATGCGCGCCAGGTGCCGGCGGAGGGCACTCATGGCACCCCCCCTGCCGGTGACCCTGGCGTCCGCCACGCGCGGGCCACACATGGGTCCGTCCGCCTCCCGGCTGGCCGCCCAATCAGCATTCGCGTGTCCAGTTGCGTCCAACCGCCGGGCGTGGAGGTCAGCAGCGCCTTGCCCTCTGTTTCTCCGCGCTTGACTGGGGCCCTCAGCATCTGAGGAGGCGGGCTGGTTCTCCATCCGCAATTCCTCCTCCAAGGCAAGGTCTGGGGATGGGTAGGAGGGCGGGTCAGCTAGGACAAGGCCCCCATGTGCCGCGTGACTCACCACGAAAGGCGAGCCGTTGTCCGTCCAAAGGAGGGGCCCCCGTTCCCGATCTTGTGAAGAGTACTCATGGCCGCGGCGGCATCCGCCAGAAGGGCCATCAGGACACTCGAGCCCAGGAGGCGGGTCGGGAGGGGAGTAGTCGGGGGAAGAGCTGGTGGGCGAGGGAGGGAAGGCACGGGGCGATCCGGCAGCAGCGATCGGAAATCTGGCGCGATCGATCCGATCAACCAGGGGAGCGGCCCCGACCGCGGCATCGGAAGCGATCCTGGTAGCGTTGGGCGAGCGAGGTAGTCCCATGGACCACCCAGCCGTCGCTCCCAGGGAAAGTCGATTGCGATCGATCATTTCCGTGGAGGGGTGCGCCTCCCTGCGACCACTGACATCAGGATCACCCGCCTCTCGCTCTCTTCCTTCTGGCTGAAGGCCAGTCTCTACAGTGAGGTTGGCTGCGCGGGGGCTGGGCGCGACTCTGGCGTCGGCACACGCACCTCCAGGGAGAGGAGCGTCAGGGGCCCCAGGAGGAGCAGGGTCCCCTCCGCTCGTGGTCGCGGGCACAGCGCTTCTATATACGTCCATACGATCACAGGTTGCTGCGGGGGCTGAAGGCCTGTCTTCTATGTCCGCTCCGCTGCCTCTCGATGCGCCTTGACCTCTCGAGCCGATGGCTCGTTCGGAGCGAGCATCTCGAGCAGCGGGCACGCCGCTTCCTCGGCTGCCCGAATGGGGGGCGGGTGTCTGACGAACGTCTTCGGAGTTCCAGGAGCGCCCAGGGAGTTGACTGCTCGACGCATCGCCCTCGGCTCCGCGCGGTCCACTTGGGGCATCCCAGGCTGCGGGGTCGGTCAGGGATGCCTCTCTGGGAGCTCCTCGGGCTGATGGCCCGTTGCCTATGTGTGCGATGCCGTCAACCCCAAGGAGTGCGTCGGGCGCGCAGCGACTCCCGTCGCCACTCGCGCCCGCCCACCCAACAGCACTCCCGGGGACTGCGGGTGCCGTCTCCGCATCTCGAGCTGAAGGCTCATCACCTCTGAGGTCACTGGAGGTGACTTGGGGTCTCGAGCTGAGGGCTTGCTCTGATGCGATACTGGACGGTTCAAGGGCTGAAGGCCCCTCATCTATATCCATTGTGCTGCATCCCGCTACGCCTTGTACGCTCGAGCTGAAGGCTCGTTCACTGGGAGACGCTCGAGCTGACGGCTCGTTCAAGGCCCGTTCTGCTGCGCCGAATGTGCCAGAGGTCGCCCCACGGGCTTGAGGCCCATCTTCTGTGTTCAATTCGCAGCTGAGGGCTGCCTCACTCGGCGCCGAAGCATCCAGGAGTGGAGATTCGGCGGAGTGAAGGCGCAAACCTCTGCGAAGCGCATCGGGGCCAAGGGCAGGTGTCTGCCTGTCTCCCCCCCCCCCGACGCCCTCGCAAACACCCCCTGTGGGAGCCAGATCCCTGGTACTCTCTTCCACGTCGCAACGGCCCCTGGGTCGAACGCCGCGGGCATCCCTCTGCCTGCCGTCATCCGATCCAGGGAAGCGACTGAAGGTTAAAATATCTGTGTGTATCGCAGGGGTGAACGCATCACCCCCTCCTCCAGCATCGCGCCTGCCGTGCTTATAAGTCCATGGAAGCGACTGAACGCTGCGTCTGCGTCGGAAGGCGCTCCGCGGGCTGAGGGCCCATCTTCTATGTTCAATTCGCAGCTGAGGGCTGCTTCACTCGGCGCAGAAGCATCCAGGAGGGGAGGTTCGGCGGAGTGAAGGCGCAAGCATCTGTGCAGCGAGTCGGGACCAAGGGCAGGCGTCTGCCCGTCCCCCCTCCCGACGCCCTCGCGAGCGCCCCCTGGGGGGGGGCAGTTCCCTGCCCCCCCCCCCCCCCCCCCCCCCCCCCCCCCCCCCCCCCCCTCCGCGTCGCAAAGGCCCCTGGGTCGAACGCCGAGGGCATCCCTCAGCAAATCGTCGGACTGCCTACGAGGACCTGGATCCATGGGGGGTTCGCTTGTTCAGAAGTGGGGCCCTCGCCCCCCGTAAACCTGGAATCGCCGAGGGCGATCCCACTCTGCCCAACGCCGCCTGGAGAGAAAGAGATTGGGCGCCCAGCAATGGGCATGGGAAGGGTGGGGGTGAGAGAAGGGGATACGCTAGGCGGGAGGGCATCATGCCTGCCGTTAGCACATCCAGGGAAGCGAGTGAAGGTCGCAATGTCAGTGTGCATCGCGGGGTTGAAAGCTTCAACCCCTCCTACCGTATCATGCCTGCAGCTCTCAAATCCAGGGAAGCGACTGAAGGTCGCAATATCAGTGCGCATCGCGGGGTTGAAAGCATCAACCTCTCCTCCCGTTTGGCTGAAGGCCAAAGGTTCTCGTGTGCATGAGGCATCGGCGGAAGCGTTCCCACTCCAGGGAGCAGGGGGCGACGGCTGCCCTGTCGGAATGGTGTCCTGTGATCCAGGGCGAGGATGCCTTGAATCAGCCAGCCCGCTGGCTCCAAGGTCTTGAACCGGTGACGCGGTCATCGTCGCCCCAGGGATGGCAGGACCATCGCCGATCGATCGCCCACCCATGCTAAGCAGGAGGGCCGCTGCACGTAGCCGACGAAAAGGAATCCAGGGAGTCTGCAATGGCGGCCCGGCCCCGGGGGAGACGCGCGGCCAACAGACTCCTAGGGGAAACCCCTTGAGCTGGGAGACCCGGCCGAGGGACCGGGGCCCAGAGGCTTGAGTGGGGATACACTTCTTTTTTTTTACTTTACAGCCGCAGGCGGAAGCGCCAGCGGCGGAAGGTCGCGAACGGGCCGCGGACGCGACTAGAATTCCTAGTTTGGGTCGGCGCTCGAGCACTGCGACGGGGGCGCAAAGATCTCGCCATGTTTCCCGGCGCTTCGCATGTGATGTGCTGGCCTGCGCAATCATCCTCTCCCCTCTCCTCCATCATTCCCCAACCAGTGCTTGCAATTAGAAGCTCTTACTTCTTTTCCAAAGAACTGGGCCTGTCTGGCGGTCTGGCGGCTATGTTGCCGCCGTCGCCGCCTCGTCGCCGCCCATCGTCTGGGCCTGTTTGGCGGCCTGGCGGCTATGTTGCCGCCGTCGCCGCCTCTGTCGCCGCCTCGTCGCCGCCACACAGGTTGCTTCACATGTATTGCACAATATGGATTGCACCACGTAGATTGCACAGCATACGTTACACCACAAAGACTGCACAACATAGGTTGCACACCATACAATGTACAGCACAGAATGCACAACTTAGATTGCACAGCATATATTGCGCAAGACAGATTGCGCACCATAGATTGCACAACCTATATTGCATCACGAAGATAGCACCACATAATTTGCACAACCTGTATTGCTCCACATCGAAGGCACAACACACATCGCACTACATCTGCTGCACAACATTGCTCGCACAACACGGATTGCAAGAAACACACTGCTTGGGGTCTGCGCTGGCTAACATTGAGTTTTGCCCCCACGACTCCGTTCCATTACTCTAACCAGAGAGGGGGGAGGGATGAGGAGGGAGGTCGGAGCAGGGCGAGTTGGGAGGAGGGAGGGAGGGGAGGAGGGAGGAGGGAGGGAGGGAGGGGAGCAGGGAGGAGGGAGGGAGATGGCGGCAACTCTAAAACCGGTCCCCGGAACCCTCCCGGGGTCCGGACGGACCAGCTTTCCGAGCAGCGCCCGGCCGTGGCGAAGAGGAGCCCCCCCAAGGCCAACCTCCGCTGCCTGAACTCGCCTTCCTCTAATAGGAGGAGGAGGAGGAGGAGGAGGAGGAGGAGGAGGAGGAGAAGGAGGAGGAGGAGGGGGGGAGGGGAGGGGGAGGAGAGGAGGAGGAGGGAGGAGGAGGAGGAGGAGGAGGAGGAGGAGGAGGAGGAGGAGGAGGAGGAAGAGGAGGAGGAGGAGGAAGAGGAGGAGGAGGACCAGTAGGAGGACATCACAGCTTCGTGCGCGTCACGCCGGTGGGCCAGGTGCCCTCCACAATCTGCAGGACCCGGCCCACCGAGGCCTCGAGCTGCTCCATCCGGGCGTCGAGCGCCTGGAGGGAGGAGGGGCCGGAAGAGCATCGGGGAGAGGGGGAGAGAAGAGGGCTGGGCGAAAGGGGGGTGATAGCAAAGGGGGGGTTGGAGAATCAGCTCACGTAGCTGATTTTCCCGGCGCCTCCCGGCGCTGGAGGCGGCCATGCATCGAGGAATGGGCCCCTCGGTGGGGCCGAAACCAGCTGCACGCAGCAGATCTCGTACCCCCCCCTTCCCAATCCCATGCTTTCGTCCGGCCCGAGGGAAGAGGGCGACGATGGGAAGGACCACAGCGACAGCAGCGACAACAACGAACACAACAGTCCCAGCGACAGCGATGACGATGTCGACGATAACGACGCAATGATAACGATAACAACGACAACGATAACGGTCGGCCATACGCAAGAGTGACCCTCGGCGAGAGTGACCTCCTCCTCCTCCCTCTCCTCCTCCTCCCGCTCCTCCAGCTGCTCCTCCTCCTCCTCCTCCTCCTCCTCCTCCTCCTCCTCCTCCTCCTCTTCCTCCCCCTCCGCCCCCTCCTCCCCCTCCGCCCCCTCCTCCTCCTTCTCCTCCTCCTCCATCTCCTCCTCCTCCGCCTCCTCCTCCCCCTCCTCCTCCGCCCCCTCCCAGCTACACGCAGGGAGCGACCCTCGGCACGAGGTGGCCTCTGGGGCGCCGCTCGCCGATCGTGGCGCCCGGTGCGGCACAGGGCGCGGCCTGCGCGGCGGCGGCGGCCTCTCTGCGTGCCGGGGTCCGCCCCCGCGCGCCCTCGGAGGGCCGCGCGCCTCTCAGAGGGCACTCCGGCGAGGGCCTGCTCTGACGTGCTCCTGCGCCTGCTGCTGCTGTTCCTCCTCGTCCTCCTCCCTCCTCCTCCTCCTCCGCCTCCTCCTCCTCCTCCTGCTCCTCCCGCTTCTCCCCCTCTGATTTGCAAAGCTCCCCTTTCCTGCCTGCGCGCAACACGATGGGGCACTTGGGAGGATTCCATGTCCGCTACGACGCCCGTCGGCGGACAGAGGCTCGTGCCGTGACGACCTCCCCGTTGGTTTCTGGCATCGCGGGGGTCGTTCAGTCTTCAGCGCTCGGCGGCTTTTCACTCGCAAGGTTGCTCCACACTGGCCGGTTCTGTGCCACTGGCGGTGTTCAGCTCAGAACGCCCGCGACGGGGTGGCAGCGCGTCGCCGCGACACGAACCTGCAGTGCGTGCGAGGCGGGGATTCACATATTGCGGTTTTTGCGTGTCCAAAGCCCTGGGCACCGATGTCCTGGGGTGCATATTGGCACGTTCGAGCCCCATGGGGGCCCGAACGTATCCATATCCGCCGCCCCTTGGGGCCCCAGGGAGATCGGCTTCCCAGGCGGTGGGTATGGATGGATTGCAGCCTCGGGGCATTGGGAGGAGAGGGGGAGGAGGACGAGGAAGGCCATGGCCCGGAATGAGACAGCACCTCCCTCCACCAGACCCCTGCTTACGGGTCCACTCGGGGCGCAGATCCTGGCGGCGATGGCCACCGCGACAGGCTGGGAGCCGCTGTCCCGTGCCGACCTGGAACACGGGTCGCCGAACTGCGCGCATCGCACCCCGCGGTGCGCGACGCGCCGTTCTCTTCGCGCCCTCGAGGAGGCCGCGCAGAAAAAGGGCACCTCCGCGGCCAAGCCCACGACGCGCGGAGAGCGACGCTGCCCTCGCGGCGCCCTCGAGCGGTGACCGCAGGGATATCTGGGCCCAGGGATCGGGCCCGTGGAGGCCTGCCTGCCTGGGGGCCAAGAGTGAGGCGTCCAACGAGGGGGGGGCGCAAGTCATGGCCAGCGGCATGTGTGCGGCCAAGGGTCGGCGACTCCGAAGGGTATGGTTTGCAGAGGGCGTGGCTTGCAACCGGCAGCCTGGGGAACATCCTGGGGTCACCCTGGGGGGCGCGCGGGGACCTCGAGAAAGTTCTCCCACGCCCCGAGGAGGCCCGACGAGGACAGTGTCGTGCCCCCCAGGCCCCAACGGCACCGATCGCAAACCACACCCCGGCGTAACCACACCCTTGGCAGTCGCCGAAAAGGGGGGGGAGCCAGGACGCATCGAAGTAAGAAGAGGCGTCATGGAACACGGGGGAGATATCATGGCCCGCGCACTGACAGCCCCCGCCCCTGGCCATCCCCCCCTCTCTTGGCCGCCCCGAAGTCTGAGGTGGACGACTCCCCTCTCCCAGAGGACGGGCACGCAAGGCGCACGCCCCCGCAGCGAGGGCCTTCAGCTGGGCGTGCACGTCGCCCTCGGGCTGAGGACCAGCCCCGTTGACCGCCGGCCCGTTCTTTCGGCGGCGAGCGAGGGGGGGGAAGAGAGAAGGGGCGGGCCTTCTCAGAAGGCTCGGAAGTCCCCCGGGCCCTCCGAGGAGTTTGCGGAGCCTTCCCCGAAGGCAGATAAAA